ACTTCTACTTCTGCATGCTTGTTTATTGAAGATTTCAGCCAGCAACTAAGATATGAATAAGCACCTACGTTTAAAGCATTTTACCATAACTAGTCGTTGTTTGGCCCACCTTTTATACAGGTGTGATTGACTATTTTGTCTATTTACATACACTGAGTTTCATAATGAAATCTTTAATATTCATCATCTGTTTCTCTGTTTTTCCTTTTCTCACCATTTTCTTTCCTTTTGTTCCTCTTCTCCTGTCCTTCATGCCCAGATCGTTATGCAAGTCAGCTGACATGATCAGAACAAATACATGGTTTTTATACCTAGCTTATGTGTATATATATATATATATTGTTATGTATATCTTGTAATTTGTACAAAAACATAGAGTCTAAAGAGGCAATATTGCTGGCAGTGCCAGTCAAGTCAGAATCAGTCCACTAGGAGGCGCTCATACACCAACATCCCAATGAAGAGGAATTTAAAAGGCCTAGTGATTCGCCACTTTGAGGATGCCACACTGATCCTATTTACCAACTCAACCAATCACTGAGGCAAACACCGTAGGACCAACCAATGAATGAAGGGTCGAAAGGCCAGAGGTATATCAGTGAGTCACAGGGCATTGAATCCATTTCCTTAATGAATCATTTTCTATTCCTTTCTTTCTCTTTTCATCCTTCTCTTCCATTCCTTCCTCAATCTTCTCTTCAGACCACTCGGTAGCAATAAACACGGGGGGCTGTTTCCCTGGAGAGGCTCTGGTGACAATGGAGGACGGCACACATAGACCAATCCGAGACCTGCGAGCAGGAGACCTTGTTCTGGCCTCAATGGGAAGTGATGGGACCGGCGATCTCGTCTACAGCGAAGTCCTCACCTTCCTGGACCGTAGCCCCATTGCCCAGAAGCACTTTTATGTGATCAGCACTGAGGATGGGGCCAACGTCTCCTTAACAGCAGCTCATTTACTGTTTGTCTGGGTTGGAAACTGCTCCAGAGGGGGGCAGCCAATGCCGGGTGCCCTCCGAGCGATATTCGCCAGTGACGCCCGACCAGGGCAGTGTTTGCTGATCGTCGATGAAGAGGAACTCAGGAAGCGTGTTTCACGGATCACTCGAGTGGAGGTGCGGGAGGACCAGGGGGTTTTCGCCCCACTCACTGCCCATGGGACTTTGGTGGTGAATGGCGTGGTCACCTCATGTTACGCCGCGGTGAACAAGCAACGGCTAGCTCACTGGGCATTTGCGCCTTTACGCCTGTTGTACAGCTGGACCGGCCCGGATCGGATCCTTAAGAACGGCTTACACTGGTACTCTCATGTCTTACTCAGTGTGGGAAAACTACTGCTAGACTCAGAACTTTTCCACCCTTGGGCCTTAGAAGAAAATGAAAGATGATGGATTGAAAAGAAATGCCGAGATGGGTGAAAAGAGTTGACTGAATGCTCAGGGTTTGTGCTCAGTTAGACGAAATGCATACCATAAGGAGAATTTTTAGTTACTTAAAGGGTTAGTTCACCCAAAAATGAAAATTAAGTCATTAATTACTCACCCCCATGCTGTACCAACCCCGTAAGACCTTCGTTCGTCTTCGGAACACAAATGAAGATATTTTTGATTAAATTTGAGAGCTGTATAACTACCACATTGGCTCCTAAGGGACTGCCTCTTGACGGCCCAGAAAGTCAATGAAGAAAATGTTTAAATATCCCAAGTGACTACCGTGGCTCAACTATATGTTTAAAGCGACGCGAATACTTTTTGTGCGAAAAAACAAACAAAAATAACGAGTTTATTCGACTATTTCTTTTCTTCCTTGTAGGCCAGAAACGAGATTTCCTTAGATTTCCACGACGCATGCGCGAGAATTGCGATCTGCTTTACACTACTTCAGATCGCAATTCTCGCGCATGCGTCGTGGAAATCTAAGGAAATCTCGTTTCTGGCATTTAATCAAAAATATCTTCATTTGTGTTCCGAAGACGAACGAAGGTCTTACAGGGTTGGTACAGCATGGGGGTGAGTAATTAATGACTTAATTTTCATTTTTGGGTGAACTAACCCTTTAATAAAGGTGAAGTGTGTAACTCACGCCATGGACCCTTTTCACATTTGCAGGGTTTGGGTTTGCAGGAAGTTATTGTTGGGTAAACTTCAATTGTGGTGAACGGGAGATATAATTTTACAGCAAATAACATTTTTGCACTCCCATTTGCTCAAATACCAAAAGTTGACCAGTCACGAGTCGACACAACGGTCTCGCCGACCAATCACATTGTAATTTTCAGAAGGAGGAGATTCAGAGCGGAAACTAAACAGGGGTGTATTTCTCAAAAGCATTGCTAGCCAACGCATCTCGGAGCGTTACTGACAGACTAGGAAGAGAGGTGCTGCAACAATGTAAAATATGTCAAAAATATTATGTTTTTTCAGCCCATTCTCATCCCAAGGCGTCATGTAACTGATGCCTTGGGAAGCATTTTGACCATGCTTCAATATCCAATATCCAATAACTACACGCAACGCAATAAAATTCCAGCGACAGCAAGTGTGTCTGTCCACACTAGACGCGACGCGACTGTGAGACGCCACACGTCAATCAAAAATCACAGTCATTCAGAACAGCGTGTGGGCCGAGTCTCTCTGTGAAAGCGCACTGCTGGCCCACACTCGCATTGGAAATGGGTAAGGACATAATCAAATCAAGAAATAACATTATTAAAAATCAAAACATTAACAAAATATACACATTGACTAATTTTGTTATGAAGTACAGTTGTATGTTTGCATAGAATTCATTTTGAACGCTATATTATATGCTTTCAACATCTGAGGTAAATTATCCGTTATCGCTTGTGGCACAGTGACCTATTTTTAACTAATTCTGTCAGCCGCGATGTGGCAGAAATAGGAAACGTTTCTAAAGTAGAAACTTCGCGTGTCGCTGTCGCGTCTGGTTAGGACAAAAACTATGATTAAGATGGAAAAGATACCTTTTATCGCGGATCGCGGCGTAGCGTGTAGTTAGGACACGGTGTTAGGCACCCTTTAGCGTCAGTTACATGACGCGATCCTAGGGCGTCATTTAATTGACGCTTTTCCTTTAGCGTCAGTTAGCTGACGCCCTAGCCCTACCCCAGACCTAAACCTAACCGCGTCATCTAACTGACGCTTTCCCTTTAACGTCAGTTAGATGACGCCCTAGGATCGCCTATCGCCTAAAGGGTGCCTATTGAAGCATGGTCAAAACGGTCAGTTAGATGACGCCTTGTGATGAGAATGCGTTGGTTTTTTGAACATTCAGGCATGAAAACCTATTCTGGGAGACCCTGGAAACAAAATCAAGTCTTTGAAAAGGTGCATTTTAAGTCCCCTTAATGCAAAGGTATATAGCACAGAGTTTAGTCGTATAAATGTATAATACAATGTGTAATCAGTGTCCGTGAAAAGGGTCCATTGGTTGAGTCAATATTGCTGTGTTGGGCTCATCAAGATGCTCAAACAAATGAAATGGCAAAGGGTTTACACTTCAAGAGAATCATCCTTGCTAATCTGTAGATGGAATAAAGAAAAAACATTTCACATCGATAATTACGCGCATTACCTTTAACTGTAAAAAGAACTGATTGCAAACTGACCTCTTGCTTCTTACAGGAATTGTGAGAGACCAAACATTGTCTGCCTTGTGTATGTTTGTTCGCTATTCCCGTATCCCAGTCTCCTTATTCATTAGATGGTCATCAGTCTTAAGACAATCTGTTAAACTAATTTAAAAAATGTGCTTTGTAATGTCATTATGGTAATATAAGGTATTCAGGTAAAGTATTTAAAATCTATTTTTGAAATTAAACTTCATACAAATTATTTATTTTGTCTCATTTTTGGGCTTTGCTTGCTATTTTGATTTCTGTAATATTAATTTGTCTGGATGTTTTTTCTTTGTCAGTGGTTCTCTGCGTTCTTGATTCCAAGGCCATCCTATCTTAGCTGATTTTTTACTACAGGTAATTCTTTTGAAAAAAAAAAACATAAATTAACAAAAATAAGGATGATATAATGATATATTATGATGTTAGTTTAATGGTTTACTGTACATCTGTTTTTTTTTGTGTTTTTAGCATTTTAAATAAGATCGTTAATTTAAATAATGTGTGGTGCCGCTACGGCCCCCTGTTTGAGAACCATGATTATATATATATATATATATATATATATATATATATATATATATATATATATATATATATATATATATATATATAATTGTTCCCTGGTAGTGCAAGGGAAGTCAGGTTTAATGTAATGAGAATCCCACCTAACATGTGATATGACTCTATTGAAAAGAGAAACACTCCTCTTACTAATGAAACAATGCAAACATTTTAGGCACGTCTCATCTTTCAAATGCTCAAGACACTAAATCATTCATTCGAAAATTTGGTTCTGGTCAGCTTATAAAAGTGTATTGCAGCACTTTAAATGTTAATGACTTTTCATGATGAAAAGTCCCGTGTGCTGTAGGCTATTATTATTCCTCACTTAAGTCACTTTGGTTAAAAGCTGCTAGATAAATGCCAATCAATGTGTCAATGGGTGACCAACTTGAACCCATTGCATGTGGAAATATTTCCCTTTCTACTTGTGATGATTCCTATTGAAATAATTTCACACATGAACAACTGCAATCAAATTTGACCAAAAACTAATTTGGCATGGTTTTAATGTTGTATAAAACAAAGTTTTTCAATCTTTTAGATGCCACAGACTCCCACATATGATCATTCTGGTGCGAGGGCCAACCTAAAAAAATGTATGCCTATGCTTAAAACTCATATGTATACAGTGATTTTTTTTTAGTTTTTTATAAATATGCGTAAAATATTATTTGGGAAAAAACAATCCACGAAGACTTTGTTCAACTTTTCAGCAGAAAAAAAGATGCTCTGATATCGCAGTTGTGTTTACCTGTCCCTTTAAGAGAGCGTCTATAATAAGAAGTGGAAACATAATCCTGCTCTCGCTCTCTCTCTTTCTCTCTCGTTTTCCAGTCGCTGTGACTAGAGGCAAATAACGGAACCAGTTAGACCGTAAATTGCTTGACAGTTTTAAGTTGACATTTTTTGATACCGTAGTTCGGAAAAGGTTTAATCTAATAATAATAACTCCGTGTCCACCTTTAAAACTCTAAACACTGTCCCTTTAAGAGGGTTTACCTACCGACCTCCTGGCTCCTGTTGATCCGACAGTATTACACATTACTGTTCGTCTGTGTCTCCTGTCATCTGCGCTTTACTTTATTCTTAACGGTTTATTTATTTATTTATTCACTTTGGAAACTTGAAGAAGCTCAAACATGGCAGAGGTAGGGAAAGGAGTCAACGCCGGGAAACTGGCCAGTAATGTACAGAAGAGGTTAACCCGAGCACAAGAGAAGGTACGCATGCTTACATTGACTCTTTGTAAATAAAACTATATTTTTACCATGCTGTTTGTACATTTAAATGCGACTTCTGAAGATAGCTAAAAGTTAAATGATATGAATCCGTGTTTATAGTAGGAAGAGACTTTAAAAACAACAGCTGAAACTCATTGACACGCTTCAATACTCGCCCTTGTGTTTGGAAAATGATGGGGTTGTTTCTCATTTGCAGAGCATATTTTGTTAAATTTATGTTTGAAACTCTGAATTCTCATTGGATTTTGAGATTAAGTTCATTAAACAGCAGCTGACAGCAACTTTTTTCACATTTAGAATTTCCTTTAGAATCAATAATATTACACAAATGTGTGTATAGGCTATATATCACAACATAATAATTAATAATAATAAATAAATAACATATTAAACTTTTAAAATGTTCTCCATTACTTCACAAGAAATAGACCAAGTTCAATGAATCTATCTTCATTGATCATTTGTCGTGCATCGTGCGGGGTAAGTTGTCACATTGGTAAGCTGCTGTTTATTAACCATGATTTGAGAAGAATGTGTTACGGTATTTCCATATTATGTAAACAGTATAATTATTAGCCTATGAAACATAGGACACATTATTGCCTAAACTGTTATGAAAACATTTGGTAATAATCTATCTTCATTATATGCTTGGCACTTGTCTGAACGTGTGTCAGTGTAGTCATTGGGGTTCATTTGTTTAAGGTTTGGATTCATCCAAAACCACTGCTAGAGAAAACAAGCATTTGTGTAGTTGGACCTTATCATTACTAAGCAGTTACGACAACTTCCTCATGCCCCAACTAGTCTAGCTATCTGCTGTAACATTTTGTTTCTCAGTAAAGCCCAGAGTGTCCTCTTTTAGATACACACAGGACCTAAAACAGTCACGTTTATGGATTCAGAGATATTAACTATGTCTACTACAAAATGAATTACTGGCTCTGAACATATGAAGCAGTCTGGAAATGGTGATGTTGTAGCAGAGTTTAAGTCCCAGGGTATCAGGGGCATATCAACACAAACCGACCCCCAGCTGAGTGTAGGAGGTCCTACACAGGAAGTGTCATTTCCTCACTAAACACTCCAAATGACCACTGGCCTCCCAGAACGCACAGCTGGACACCAGAGCCTTGCACTGTGCAAAAGTGACACGCTTTTGATTTGAGTGACTCTACAGTTATAGGAACTACTTGATAAATTTAGCCAGTCCGTAGGTGTACTTTCGGGATCCGAGACATTGCACACTGGTTAAACGAATTACTAATCTGCATTGGCACCAGGTTGTTCAGTTCACTTGGCAGGGGCCATTTAAGAAACATCAGAAATCGGTTTCAAAATCGTTGTTTTAGTCATAAATGGTAGACAAACAAGCGGCTTGGACGACTTGGAGATTTCTTAGGAAGATAGTTTTGTCATTTCCTGTCCCTATAAACCAAGCAGACTCATTACTTTGTAATCATATAGATGTGTAAAAAGTTAAGAGGTTATTTAGGATCATTGTCTACATTTGTGTTTGTTTTCCTCTTCCTGTTGGGTCATTTTTCTTTGGTCCCACATACTGAACTCATAGGCCCAGTTGTTCCAATCCCAGCAGAAGGGTGGAGTTTTGGAACAAAAATTTAGTACAACTTTAAAACTGGTTGAAAATACAACATTTGTATTAAGTAATATACACACACTTTTTTATTTTGCTCTTGATTAGTTTAACTGTTACAGTAATGTTTTAGAAGTAGACATTAGGCTACATCTTAGAGATATTGGTGGCATAAAATAATCCCCAACACCTGTAAATATCAAAAAAAATATATTTATATTAAAAAATATATATATTTGTTATTATTTATAAATGTAAAATTCGATAAGATGATTATATTTCATTTAAAGTGAGTTATTATACATTTTTTTAATCACTACGTTGGCACTATCATAAGAGGTGAACCAGTCAAAAGTTTTGCGAGCAAATGCAAAGTTTCTCAGGTGAACGCTCCGAGAATTACGTTAAAGAACGTAAAAGCTTTCAAATTATTTTTTCCCTAATCTAATATTTTTTCCATCACCATCTCCCTAAGAGAGCATTAATAAATCTAGTAGCACCTCATTGCAGTACACGAGATCCAGGATTTAAGGGGTAGAGATGGGTAGGATTAGGGGATGGGGTTAGGGAGCAGGGGGTGGAGATGATTAGAATTAGGGGTGGGGTTAGGGATCAGGGGGTGGAGATGGGTAGGATTAGGGGTGGGGTTAGGGATCAGGGGGTGGAGTTGGGTGGGGTTAGGGATCAGGGGTGGATATGGGTAGGATTAGGGATCAGGGGTGGAGATGGATAGGATTAGGGTTGGGTTAGACACCCCTTAAACAACTAGGCCCTGGTGCTCACTTCAGCTGCTTTGTGTGTAGATTTTCTGTAAAAAGTTTTTCAAGAATGCATTAAAAACATTAATATTGTGAAATATTATTAAAAGTTCAAATAACTGTTTTCTATTTCAATACATTTTAAAAAGTTACCTCAAACTCACAGTAATTTATTCCTGTGATGTAAAGCTGAATTTTCAGCATAATTTCTCCAGTCACATGATGCTTCAGAAATCAGTCTGACACGCTGATTTGATGTTAAGCAAACATTTTTTATTATCATCAATGTTGAAAAAAGTTAGAAATATTTTTGTTCTAGAAATTTCAAAAGAAGTCGATTTATTTAAAATAGAAATATTTTGTAACATTATGTCTCTTTTGAGCAATTTTGTTGCCTAATAAAAATATTGACCTTACTGACCTCAAACTTTTAAATGGCCTTGTAAATCTGAGCTCCAAACTAGACCAAAAAGGACCATAACAAAAAGTCAATACAGCTAGTGTTTTGCGTGAATGATCCCTTTAGTATGTTTTTGTATTAATTGCTTTTGTGTGTAGACTTTGCAATGGGTCTAGATATTATTTGTGAGCAATACCTGTAGTTGTTTAGTCCTCAGCAGTCTTGGCTCCTTCTTTAGAGTGTGAAATGCTGGACTCACTCTAAAAGTATCTGTATGTGTGTATTTGTGTGTGTAGTCACTCTAAGAGATCCGCTGTCCATCAGCGTGATTAAGAAGAACTCAGTCTCCTCTTCCCCTCTGAAACTCAGCCAGGTAGAGGAGAGTAAACCATGATCCTCAAGTGGCAAATGGCCCACATCGCAGCAGTCTCCCCTCTTTTCACAAACTTCGCTTTCCCCTCATCCACCTGTCTGTCATTAGATGATGTCTGTCACTATTTTGGAACACCAAGGCAAGTTGTTCTTGAGTCACCCATTCTTGCAGAAACATTCCAAAAGTGTCCATTTAGTATGGAGACTCCCCATCTCAATGTGTCATAATGACCGTGGAGGTCAAGAGATGGGTGCAAAGTTACAGCAACCCCCTTTTCTTAGATTAGATTCCCAAAGAAAGTGTCCTCAGCCTTCCCCTGACCTCTGCTCTGATTGGACAGGCGACATGCCAATCAAAAGACCCACTGATGTTCAAGCATGAGCCACACCCCTCTTCCGCACTCCACCCACACACCTGTCCGTCCTCATAGAGCTAGTGAGCAGTGTGTGGATTGGGCTATGAATAGCAGACAGGCTGTAGCTGTGAGCTAATCCCCAGAAACCCCTTGTGCGACAAACCGTGGTGTGTGTGAATGCCAACGGCTGTGGTCTGAGGTATTTTTGGGGCTGTAACTGAACACCAGCACACATTGACCAGATTTAAAGACCAATGTCCTTTATAAAACACTGATGAAGTGACATTTGGATTTTACTTGGGAGAATGCAGTCATAAATTCACTCACACACATGCACGGGTTACTAAGTAAATCTCCCTCAATCGAAGCCTCTTTTAACCTGTTAGTTAAAGCTCCACAGACTAATTAAGCCGATCCACTTGCCACTCCTGTGAGACAGCAGAAGTGTGTTTACCTTGGACAGTTTTGTCTCAAAATGTAGTTCAATCCGACAAAAACTTTGAGGACATACTTCCCTAAATAATCCTAAATGAAATCTAAAAGGTCTTCTATTAGGCGTGGGGTTATGGTTAGTCTAATTTTACCATATGGAAACTTGTAAAACTATAGTAGTAAAAAACAATAGAGTCTGTGTTATAAAAGAAAGAGAGATTGAATATGTGCCTGCATGAGGTCAGATCAAGTGGGTGTATAAAATTGGTCCCTGACTTCATCAATTAGTATAAACTTGTCTTTCACTTGCTCAAATGTTTTTCTCCCTCACACTGAGGAATCTCTCAGCTGCTGGACAAATGGTTAGCGCTAGTGTGATCAGACCTAAAGGGATAGTCCACTTTGAAATACATTTTTGGTATCTTTTAGCTTACCTCAAGGGCATCCAAGATGTAGGTGTCTTTGTTTCCGCAGTAGTTTCAAATTTGATATTTTTCGGTCAAACCGTTCTTGTCTGTCAGTCATATAATGGAGGTCTATGGTCACCACCTCAAAGAGCATACACAGAGAAGTCCAAATTAAACATGATTTAATGATTCGTAAATGTAAGCACACATTGATGGCCTAAGACACGAAACGAGCGGTTTGTGTGAGAAATAGAACAGTATTTATATAGTTTTTACCTCTTGTAACCACAGCCAAATGATTAGAGGGTTCTGCGCAAGCGCCGGAAAGCACCGGAAGTGATCTCTCACGCGATCTCATTGTTTACACAGAGATTTCGGAAGTGTTACCTTTCACTGTAAAGATCTAAACATATTTAGATATACATAAAATTGCAATGGAAGACGATTTCGATACAACACACAATGTTGAACATTGCGCAGACCGAAGTGCCCGCACCCTTAGATCACTTGTACGTGGCTGTGATTACAAGAGGTAAAAACTAAATAAATACTGTTCATTTTCTCACACAAACCGCTTGTTTCGTGTCTTAGGCCATCAATGTGTAGCCTACTTACATTACGAGGTGGTGACCATAAACCTCCATTATATGACTGACA